GTGTGTGTGTGTGTGTGTGTGTGTGTGTGTGTGTGTGTGTGTGTGTGTGTGTGTGTGTGTGTGTGTGTGTGTGTATGCATGTGTGCTTGAGTGTGTATGTCAGAGTTACTTTCGTTACATTTCTTCTCTGTACTCTGCCATAGTCTCTTTCTCTAGTAATAACTGCCACGCTTGCACATAATGTATACAGTTAACTAGTCGCTTTAGTTCACCCTGTTGATTATGTTGCGCATCAAAACTATTCTTCCTCGGAAGCCAGTGGTATGCTGGGAGTGAAATCCCGATCCTAAGCGCTGACAGTACCTTTAAAAAATATATTAAATTTCAGGATTGCTTTCTCCTGGACTCTGGCCCCTCACTGCCACTTTACATATGGGTAGGAGCAAGGGCAGAGCCTGATGACAGACGCAGGGCATTATTCCGGGCACGGGTGAGTGCAGGGTTTCAAGATAAACAATATATTGTTGTATGCTTTTTTGTTAAATTTCTATTTGTGTGGGTTTGCAACAGTGCTAGATTAAAAATGAGTCTTTGAATGGCGAGTCAGATTCGTATGAACTTTAAATTCAATTTGTCATTTTAAAAAATTACAACTGGTTCATAACATGAATCTTATTGTTCTCTTCATCGGTTAAGCATTAATTTTAAGCAAGTGATAGTTGGCAGACACTTCTGACAGATCTAGATGTTTATTCGTCTAGGGCACATATCAATGGTCTGGGAGTGGACAATTATAGACAGATAGTTGATCAACAGACAGATAGATATATAGACAGACTGACAGACAGACAGACGGACAGACAGACAAACAGACAGATAGATAGATAGATAGATATATAGATAGATAGATAGATAGATAGATAGATAGATAGATAGATAGATAGATAGATAGATAGATAGATAGATAGGCTGGACTTCCGTTGATAGACCGAAAGACTGATAGATTACCGTACAGATGAATGAAGCTGGGTGGGATTCTGCATTCCAGCAAAAGGATGAGATGCGATTCATATGTAATAACATAGACTTCATCATATAAAAGGGGTAACGAACTCTCTCTTTTTTAGTGAAACAAACGGTTAAGACTTTAAACGTTACTCCAGTGATACCGTGTTGATATATGGATTCGTAGACGTAGAGAGAAATATGTTGGCTGAAGTGGAACTGACAGAGAGATCATGGACACGTATGTTAGGAAATGACACTTGCTTGATTTTGTAAGCGTTTTACAGCACTTAAATAATGTAATTGTGAGTGCCAAATATTAGATATTATATTACAAGCCAATAACAAGCACGAAAAGAAGGAGAAGAGATGTGGACGATAGATGCTTGATAGGAAAGAAGCAACCAACCTCAACAGAGCACCCTCCCACCTCCAACTATGACGCTTTTAAAAGCACAGAGTCCAAACAGAAAGGAGAGAAGTTTGATGTACCAGTGTTGCAGATCTTCAATTTAAGTACTTTACCTCCCATTTTCCGATGTGTTTGTCAGATCTTTGCTCAGCACCACGGCTATCCCGGGACGACGCATCTATGCCGGGTGGCTGAGGGAGAGGAGCCGATGGACTTCAGGAAAATGTTCGCCGAATGGAGGGACCGGACGGCCGGGGAGCGTCAGCTGGTTCGGAGCTATAGTGTAGCCAACATAGGTACTTAAAGCTTTAGCTTTTTTGTGTAGGCCTACGTGTTTTACGTCCCCCATGACACAATTTAGAGCATTTATGAGGCGAGTTTCGGCCATTCCAGGCTGAGAGGAGAGCAACATCAAGGCAGAAGACCTAGATAATACCCGACAAAATTTCTTCCCACTCGGGAACGAATTGTCTCCTATCCGACACGATGAAGGGTTTAACTGCTACACCACATACGCTGGTAAGCTACTTCCGGAAAAGGCTGGAGATTTGCTTTCGTTATGTCTTGAGAGCAAAGTGATACATGGTAGATAATGAACCCGTGGGGTGATGCTATGACAATTAATTTGATTTGAATAAAAGCCAATATTATTGTGATTCTTGCTTGTGCACAGCTGGCATGGATTTTCTCTTCTCCTCAAATAATTTGCCATAGCTCCGTATCTCACGCTGTATATATACTGCTTATCCTGTTGTTGTCTCTTGCAGTACATGGCCATAACACGGAACGGACAAACAATTAAAATTTGTTTTACACATCAACGTTTGTGGCTGCGGTATAATGTTTGACGATTAAAGGTTCCATGTGAATTGTAACTGCGATAAGTCTGCGTAATGATACTGTGCTTTGGGTCTCATCTAAGACTACAAAACGCCAACGAAAAGTGTAGGGTTAAAAAGTTAAATGCACGTATACTTTTATCGATATCACTGTTCATTCTGGTTGACTTAAACACATTTTTTGTTGTTGCAAATTTTGAAGTGTTGGTTATTTCTTACCACTGTTTGCCTTCGTCTGATAAAAACTGTGACACGTTAATATTTATTGTCACTTAAGTTCTGACGTTTAATTAACAAACGCTTTTCTTTAATATTTTTCAGGACGTGTTCTATTCTCAAAGTCAGACAGACGCACAGTGGCGAAACTATCAGAATTATGGTCAGACGACCATTTTCTCACTGGAAACGGAAACACAGAGGTATTGCCGCTATAAAACATCAGACTTCCTTGAGAACTTGCCAAGTGCTGTGCGCTTGATTGATTCCAGCAATGCCCTTTATCCGTTGTACGACAAACACAAACAGTCTTAAAAGGAAGTTATCTGTCTATGATTATATCAGAAGACATTGCATTAATCCGGAACAAAGGATCATCCACGGTTGTAATGACAAGACAGAGTTCAATGCCTTCACAACGCTTGCACTTATCCCACCAGTGGCTGCCGACAGCTGTGGCGCAATGGGATACAAACTTGCAATACAGAAGTTCAAGATTCAAGCCCGAGAGAGGCCTGAAAGAAATTTCTCGTCCTCTGTGGACTATTTTTTTCTGCTCGATATTCCCAGAGGGACTAAGTGCTCTACTTTTTCAAAAGACTGGCACTGTCTTCTACATCACCACCATTGCCACCACCACCAACACCACCACAACCAACAACAAGAACAACAACAGCAAAAAAACAACAACAACAACATGAAGAACAACAGCAGCAACAACAACAACAACCATAACAACAACAACAGCAACAACAATAACAACAAAACAACAACAATAACAACAACTAGAACAACAATAGCAGAAACAATAGCAACAGTAAAAACAACACTCACGACAAGAACAACAACGCCAGCAGCAACAGCAACAACAGCAACAACAGCAACAGCAACAGCAGCAACAGCAGCAACAGCAGCAACAACAAAACGGCAATAGCTTGAACGGTTACAACAGCAACAGCAACAAAAATAGCAGCAACAACGAAATAATAGCAGGAACAACGTAACAACAACAACAGCAACAACAACAACAGCAACAACAATAACAACAGGAGCAACAACAAGGACACTAGCAACAACAGCATAAATAATAACAACAACAACAGCATCAAAAACACAACAGTAACAACAAGAGAACAATAATATACAACAATAATATTGACAGTCCAAGTGGACTGGGAAAGGGAAAGGGAAGGGGGGCATGAGGAGATTGGACCCACTCTTCAAACATAATAGGCCTATTGTGAGTGACCTTTACATACACATGTACTTTAGTGTGTCATCTCTGTCGTTTTTCTACCTTCTTCCCACATTTGTTCTCTAATCTCAAAGCCAAGCCCCCCCGTTTCCCCACAAGAAAAAAAGGAAAAGAAAGAGAGAGAGAGAGAGAGAGAAAAATAAAAAACAAAATGGGACCAGAAATAGATAAAACACACAAATTACTCAGATTAAAGCCGCAACACCCCCAACCCCTTATAAGCGCTGACCCGCCCCCTTTCCACACACACACACACAG